GACTAAGCCTTCAGCCTTAGCCATAGCCATGCTACTTGCAGCATTCCCTGAAAGAGTAAGAACCATTTTGTAGGTATATTACAAGCACAAACCAAGCCCAGTTTTATTTAATTACACACATCTATACATACTAATATCTCTAAACTAGAAACTGTGTTTTATATCATTATACTGTTGCCTGCATTCTACTAAATAGGAAGAGCATGCAGTGTACTGACCCAGAAGATGCAAAGGAGCAAGAAATCTTTCTTACAAAAGAAGTAAATATGGAGAAAATTGGTAGAATATTAGAAGACTTTTTAGGCTTGAGCCATGAACTATAGGAGCCAATGTCATGAATTAGATTTTAACTTTTATTTGAACTGTCATAGTTATTCTGAAAAAAGAAGAAATAGTTACACATTCATGTAATAAAGGTTTTTTCTTGTTAATATGTAAAATACATTAAATGCTTCCAAAGTAAGTTATGAATGAAGGATTTAGATGGGAATTATTTGCAATACTTGTTTGAACCTAAACAAAGATATATTTCCCACATCCTTAAATAGTAAAACTTCTAGGGGCACAGCTATAAGGTTTTCTTTGGAAGTAAGCATAGAGATTTTTTAATCTTTTTACAGAAATGTGTATTTAGAAAATATAAGCAAACAATATTAAAAGCAAATCTTTATTTATCAAATATTGCCATCAGTATATGACTCTGGCCATTCAAACACTTAAATGCACCAGACATACTACTATTGCATATGATAAATGCAAATTGCCTGCCATAATTAACTTTTAGTTTCATCCTGCATTTGATTGCACATTTTACCAACATAACTTGCTGAGTTGATACCACTTTCAATAAATTGAAGAGTTGCTTCAAAAAGTTGGGGCAACAGTGTTTTCGTTGAAGAATCTTCCTGTGGTTTTTTTTGTTTTGAGTTTCTAAGCATTAAAAGCCTTTTTCCATTAATAGGTTTTTCCATCCAAAGGCTTTTTGATACAACAGCTCTCCTTTAAGTTTCTAAACATTCTTCCCATTTGAGATATCTTACCATCATGTGTGGCTTGAGGGACTCTCTGGAATAAGGAAATGTGTCAACAATCCAATTGGGTGATTGACACAATTCAACATGTCTCCCTGATGGTGGAAGCAAAAGAGTGCCCTAATTTTCCAGAGAATTAAGGTTGATGAGGTAGCATGAACCCTCATTGTTACTAGAACAAGAAGACAGGAAAATCCCAAATGAATCTGCCAAATACATATTAGGGTACATATTAAATCAAGTACTGTAACATGATAGGGACAAAGAAACCATGTTCTTCCACTGTTATTGTACATACACAGAGTATCTATGGTGAATATTGAGAACTATTTATTAACCTTTATGCCACCTATCTCCCCTGTAAGATGAATCTGGGCAATGTACAGGTTATACACAAATACAAACATAATTAAAATATTAAAACATTAAAACTACACAGGTTAAGATTTTAAAGACCATATGTTATGTCAAGATCAACTCCGACCAAAGAGAAAATACTTTCCTGCTACATAGTTTTCCAAGACACTGATTTTCTCACCCTTAACTCTTTCTAAAATCCTAAGGAAAGTCTCCTTTCTAATACCGTGTTTCCCCCAAAATAAGTCCGGGTCTTATTATTATTTTGCCTCCAGAAGAGGCATCAGGTCTTATTTTCAGGGTAGGCCTTATCTCATCTCTGGCATCAACAGCCCCACCCAGCCAGTCCACTTCTTCTGGAACAGAAGTTCTGCAGCTGTATTCGGGTCTGCATTTTGCAGTCAGGACTTTCCAGAAGACCTAAGCAGCCGAGTATCGAGCTATGGATTCAATCCATAGTTTGGTGCTCGGCTGCGGAGGTCTTGCAGAACCGAGCTATGGATTGGCTGCACAGGCCTTCCGAAAAGCCCTGTGACTGAGAAATGCAGGCCTGGCTGCAGAAGAGGCTGGCAAGGGAAGGCATCGATGCAAGGTAAGTGGGTGTGGGGCAGATCCACCCCCCATCCCTGCCCTAGCTTGATTTTTAGGTGTGTGCTTGCCCCAAAACTAGGGCTTATTTTTGGGATAGGGCTTATTTTTGGGATAGGGCTTATTTTTGGGATAGGGCTTTTATTAGGCCCACCCCCAAAAATCAAGCTAGGGCTTATTGTTCGTGTAGGCCTTACTTTCGGGAAAACACGGTATATTGGTAACATGTTGCATTATGATGACTAATAATATGGCTATGGAACGATGGTCCCTTGAAGAACAGATAGGTTTTCTGTTTTCTGATTGATAAAGGCAGTTATTTTCTGACAGATTTTTGCTTTGCCAAGTACTTGATGCTTTAAATAAAAACTGTGTTTTACCTGTGATCCTTGCTTCTGCTGTACATTTCTTGAATGTATTGTTTAATAAGCTATTACGATGTTAAATTTTTATAAGCAGCTCTAAGGCCCTAGACAAGCAGGGGAAAAAAATCTTTATTAGATAAATAAATAGTCTCATTCAAGCCACTAGAACAAGTTAGTCATAACTACAGTACTTTAAATGCCACTGCTTTCACAGGCAGTTTGTTATAACTAACTTTAAATGAATTGGTGCTTTTGAATAAATAACAATGCATGCATTGCAAATCTAATTTCAATTTAATTTTACCACCAAATGGGCCAGTTATTTACTCTTTAAATGTAATAAGATGGACCTAAATATTGATTTTAGGTAGAAAAATGCAGAAGTCTTCTATTAAAGTTGTATCTGAAAGAGACTTTAAGCCACAACTTTCTAAGAGTTCTGTTATGGTAGGCATCTTAAAAGATGTTTTTGATGCTGACATTCAGACCAATGTACATAGTGTATGTATCTCCCTTTTTAAAACATTTCCCCTTAGAACTAGTTAGAAAATATTTCTTGCTCCCTGATGACCAGTACTAAACCAGCATATATATGGTTTATTAGCTTAGCCTTAGCATTATTCCTGATATGTGACTTTACCAAAAGCAAAAAAAAAAAAAAGTTAACTGAATGCCTGGCCTTTTTTGTCTCATTAGAACAATAAAACACAGAGCATGTCAGCAACTGACAAGAAAAATAATGACATATGAATACAATGACACAATGCTCAAGTATTTTTTCCTCTTTATTCAAAGTGTAATGATAAAGGCAAAACCACATTTGACTAAAAAAGAAAAATACTTGATCACTTATTAGATTCTTCAGATTTATCTAACAAATGAGGACTTTTAAAAAATCACAAAAATGAAAAGTTATTTTGGCAGTGCTACTAAATCATACACACAATCCTGATTTTCATAATTTAAATTATGTTAGGCAAGTATATATTAGTTGGATGTATTTTGATGGATTATTTTTCTATAATAATAACATACCCTTTTTGCATGCTGTAATTTTCATATACTTGCAGGTATCCAACTGAAGAAATTTGGAATAAGATATTAATAATATTTGGTAAATGAAAGTGAATATTTAAATGTACTAGAAACTCTTAAATTTTTATGGAGTCTGTTGGGAAATGTCAAAATTGTCATGGAAATTGTATTTTTAAAAGGAAAAAAAGAAGGAACAGTCAGAATTAATTTGATATGCCAAGGATTATCTACTAATCAAGATCAACAATTCTTTAAATAATCAATTATATCAATTCTGATTTTAATTAAATGACATACATTTAAGAGTGAGGTGTTTTGATCCCAGTGCATAATATAAAGTAAAATAGCAGAACACATTTTACCATTTAGTGGTAAAATAACAGTGACCTGTTAGTTTTGTTCTCAGAAAATATTTCAACAGTATATCTCTGTCTATGTGAACATCATTGGAAATTACTGTAAATCCATAAGAATATCCATAAGAATATTGCTCATTCTTCTGTTATCTTATATCAAATGCTGTATACTATTGTACTACTTTAATATTTTTTTTACTTAAATTATAATCAATTTAATATGAGCAGTTGCTTACTTAGAAATATGTTAGGATAGCAATAATGACAAACATAAAAATCTTAAGAAAAAAATAAATGAGTTCCCACAATATAATAATTTAATATTCTGTTAGAAAAAGACCTGAAACATTTTCTGTATTTTAGAACAATACAATGCACTGTATTAAAATAATATTCCTCTAAGTTTGGAAATAATTATAGAATGTTATAAGTAGGTTTATTGCTAAGTGGCAGAGTTTGTGGATCCTTTTGCACAATATCCAAAATTTATTTATTTACTTACTTATTTATCATTCATTCATTTATTCATTTACTTATTCATGATTCTGAAAGGCTTACAATTAAAACCTAATACCAAAAAACACAGAATACAATACAACCATACAAATAACCACATAGTATACAATCATACAAATAATTCAAAACCTAACACCATATAGTGCAGTAACTAGAAAAACCCAGTAATGCATAAACAGTACAACCATTTTAAGGGCTCTACACTACTCTGTGTTCCCCGGGCCAGATGGTGAAGGCCAACAAGGTCAAGGCCAGCTGTTGACGGGGAGGGGGGGCAGAAAATGATGTTCCATAGGGCAGGTGCAACAGATATGTAACTGCCTAAAAACTACAATAAAAGCTATGAAAACTTATTGAAATCTAATCCCAATAGCAGTTAAGGAAATCAGTTCTTATATTAGGAGCAGAACATAAGCCATAATACAGTCTGCATTAAGATAGATGAAAAATGACATTGTGAATATTCAATTTGCTACGCAGTAGCATGCTATTGTATAATTGTAATTGCTTGGCAAGTAGATCATTTTGAAGAAGTATCAAATGGTGAGGAGCATATTACATCTCTGTTTTTGTGAACTTTTGAATAGTTGAAGAAATATAAGGATGATAACATGGATGATAACATGGGTAATAAATGATTCTGTATTAATATATTAAAATGGCTTCATATCATCTTGGTGTTTTTCACATAAGTGTTGAGAGTGAGAATGTTCAAGTTACTTAATTAAGACCTTCACCCTTGTTTTCTCTAGAAAAAGACCTATCAGTGCATCAAGTGCCAGATGGTTTTCTACAATGAGTGGGATATCCAGGTTCATGTTGCAAACCACATGATTGGTGAGTGAAGTACTAAATCTTATTGATGATAGACTGTTCTCCTAGAAGTATTCATCATTGCCTCTAAAATTAAATTGAGTTAAGGAGAAATTAATTGTATAACCGTCAATGATTTACCCAGGTGTGATAACTTTTTTTAAAAAATATTATTAGGCCTGATAAAGCATTAGCATGTTTTATTTTCTGCAAGGGCTAGTTTAGACTTCTGCAGAGAATCATATACTACTGCCAGTCAAAACACAGGTGATTAACAAATTAAACTTCTAATCATTTTTGCATTATTGAAAACTAACAGGAATGGTTAATGAACTGGTTGTTAGCTTTCCACAGAGTTTTAGGCAGGTTTTAATTTCAGAAATTATTATGATAATGACACAACTGAGTGCTGCTCAAGTACCATGATATCAACAACAAAATTGGCAAGTTTTGTGACTAACAAACGTAAATAATTCAATTGGTCATAAAATAGGAGTCTATGTAGTACTTGAACAGCCTGAAAACCCTCTAGAACAATATTCAAGAAAATGAAATAATATATTTAATTAAGAAAATAGCCAAGATCTGCTACGAATAATACTCAAAATATGTAATCAACATTTTTAACAGTAATTTTCTTTAGTATTTCCACAAGGTTATCTAACTAGAAGGTATGGAATTGAAAATTTAAAATGTACTTAGAATATATAGCCTATAAGCAAAATTACACCAGAATAAAATCCTGGAATGCTATTGACATCATAATATGTGAATACTAACCTTAACTTTAATAAGAATGTGGGATAAATTGTGGCTCCATATGTATAATACAAATATTTTTATGCTTCTGTAGTAGATGATAAAGTATTTTGTTTTTCAGAGTCTGTAGCTCTATGAGAGGTCCTTGGTACTCTCTGAGCTTGGTTGTTTTCTTGCAGACATTTTATTAGCACTGATGATGTTATCTAGCTTGGGTAATGAAACGTCTGCAAGAAAACAACCAAGCTTACAGAGCATCAAGGAGCTCTCATTTCAACACTGAGTTACAAATATTCTCCTTTATAGATCTGTAGCTCTGTATTACTGTATAGTCGTAGCAACAGAATTTGTGTTATCAAAAAAGAGAAAGTAAGAAAATAATGTGAAAAGTCTGGGAGCCATCTAGTAGATTTTTTAATTATTAATTACTTTTCACATGTAGATCAGTTTCTTTTGTTCAAACATCAACATAATAAATCCTGTGAGATAACAACCTTGTAAGATAGCAGAGGACAAAAGTGCTTTATCAAACAGCATTCATTAAGATTTGTAAACTGGTCAAGGTACAGATACTGGTTAACTATACCAATCTCTAAATCTAGCTAATACATGACATTAGTTTTTAATCTAGAATGCTTCTGAACTTTTTAAGTAGTCAGTACAAAGTAACCTAACATGTACATGCAATATATAGAGACATTTGGCTGAATTTAGATTAAATGAGTACAAATAAATTACAAGATCTTTTAGAGAACCAGAATCTTTCAAAAGACTGAGACAGGGATGTCCATGAGAAAACTTTAACATGTCAATGATAGGAATGAATACACAAAACCTCTCCTCTTTTAGCATATATCACCTGATTATAAAATAGTGTGAAGTTTCAATTACATTTTCTCACTCACTATCTTGATTTTTTTATATCCCCTGTGAACATCACTGAATACAGCACATTTAACCATCTCATATCTATTATCTATAGCAGACATGTCAAACTCATGATGTCACGTGATGTCGCGCAACGTATCGGGACAGTTTTGCCATTGCCGGCAATGGGGTGGGTGTGGCTTCTGCGTGACGCGTCCGGCCCGTGGGCCGGCAGTTGGATACCCCTGATCTATAGAATGTGCTTTGGTGTACCTTTTTGTTTTGGCCTTCCTTTTAATGTTTCAATTCTTACTTTACATTGTTAAGAGTAACTTCCTTGGGTTTGAAAGTGAAAAATATATCACCTTATAGAAGCTAACTTCTGAGAGAAAAAATAAAAGGAATGATGCATCTTTGGTGTAAAGTTGTATATGTTTAATCTATTAAATTGAAATGCATCATTTCAACCATATTTTGTATTAAATTATTTGTTGAAATAAATTTGGCAAGATTTGGTCAGTAAAATACATTAAGGGACTGGATACACATTCTGTGTTTTAGCCATGTCTGCAAAACTAGCCTCAGTAGCTGGGATCATATATTGTATCAGTAATGTACCTAGGATATTTGACACCTGGAATGAACAGATAGATTTTTAACATACACACACGCACGCGCGCACACACACACACACCTGAGAGTCAGACTAGAAACTGGGAGACTATAAGTTCTAGTCCCTCGTTAAATAAGAAGCCAGCTGGGTGACCTTGGGCCAGTCAATCTCTCTCAGGTCTAGGAAGAACACAAAAGCAAACCACTTTCAAAATCTTGCCAAGAGAATTGCAGAGGGCAGTCACTAGGAGTCAAAACTAACTTGAAGACACATTTTTTTCCCTCTATTATTGCTGTGCTGCTGCCAAACGGTTGCCCAACACATTGACACCAATGATTTTCTTCAACACTCACTTCTAGCTGCTTCAAAATTAGCCTCCTTGTGTCTTTGGCAGAACCATCCTTACTGCAGGTACCTGGGGCAGACACCCTCCATCTCCCAAAGCAACACTGTATTGACTGATGCCATAAGATGATGCTTCGTAGCATAATAGTTGAGATCACATGTTATGATAAACCAGTATCAAACAGATCACATTAGGAATTACTGCAGAGTGTGAATCTTGCCAGAACATGTGTATTTAATATATCTGGCTCCTTAATTTTGCTAGAGAAATGTTACAATGTTGATAAGCTGCCCTATCTTTATTCTACAAGTTGCTCTCTATTCACAGATAAGAAATTTCATAGAATCTAGATTTATTATGCTACCTGAAGAACCTAGAGTTCTTTTTATTAATAGTGCCCAATTACACTGTACTACTACCATGTCAGTGTAAATTGTA